ATGTGGGGGGGCAACCCGTTACCTTCCTGGTGGACACCGGAGCCCAGCATTCAGTACTCACCACCTCACCGGGACCCTTGACTGACAAATCGGCGTGGGTTCAAGGAGCCACAGGAGGAAAAAGGTACCGATGGACCACTGAAAGAAGATTTCAACTCGCCACCGGTAAGGTGACTCACTCCTTTTTGCATGTTCCTGATTGCCCTTATCCATTGTTGGGGAGAGATCTATTAATGAAACTCAGGGCACAAATCCACTTTGAAGGGACTAAGGCCCATGTTACTGGGCCTCAGGGGCAGACTTTGCATGTGTTAACCATAAACCTGGAAGATGAATACCAACTTTACGAGCTTGAAAGGCCTTGGCCACAAGAAATGACTGTTTGGCTAGAAAAGTTCCCCCTAGCCTGGGCAGAAACAGGAGGAATGGGTCTCGCAACTCACCAGCCCCCCCTGGTGATCACTCTAAAAGCATCAGCAACTCCCATTTCCATTAAGCAATACCCGATGTCACATGAAGCTTACCAAGGAATTAGGCCTCACATTCGGAGACTTTTAGATCAGGGCATTCTGGTACCTTGTCAATCCTCCTGGAATACAACTCAACTTCCGGTTAAAAAGCCAGGGACGGGAGACTACCGCCCGGTACAGGACTTGAGAGAAGTCAACAAAAGGGTAGAGGATATACATCCTACAGTTCCCAACCCATACAATTTGTTAACTGGGCTTCCTCCAAGGTACACCTGGTATACGGTATTAGACCTTAAGGATGCATTCTTTTGTCTGAGGCTCCACCCTCAGAGTCAGCCCATTTTTGCCTTTGAGTGGAAGGATCCAGAGTTGGGAGCATCGGGTCAGCTTACTTGGACCAGACTCCCGCAGGGGTTCAAAAACAGCCCCACCTTATTTGATGAGGCGTTGCACCGGACCCTGGCCGATTTTAGGGTTCATCACCCTGCTTTAATCATGCTCCAATATGTAGATGACCTCCTCCTGGCTGAAGAAACTGAGGAAAAATGTAAGGAGGGAACAGAGGCCCTACTGAAGACTTTAGAAACTCTAGGATACCGGGCCTCAGCTAAAAAGGCCCAAATATGTCAGAGGCAGGTTACATACCTGGGCTATCAGATCAGGGATGGACAAAGATGGTTGACAGAAGCACGGAAACAGACAATTCTAAAAATTCCGGTGCCCAAAAGCCCGAGGCAATTAAGAGAATTTCTGGGTACTGCGGGGTTTTGCCGCCTTTGGATCCCAGGATTCGCAGAAATGGCTGCGCCACTTTACCCACTTACCAAACCAGGGACTCACTTTACTTGGGGGGATGAGCAGCAGAGAGCCTATACAACTATTAAAGAGGCCCTGCTGACCTCCCCCGCACTGGGGCTTCCGGACTTAAACAAGCCCTTTGAGCTATTTGTGGATGAAAAACAGGGATATGCTAAAGGGGTCCTGACCCAAAAACTGGGACCATGGAGGCGTCCGATAGCTTACCTGTCCAAGAAACTTGACCCGGTGGCTTCGGGGTGGCCACCTTGCCTGAGAATGGTGGCAGCGATTGCCCTCCTGATTAAAGACTCTGGCAAGCTGACTATGGGACAGCCAATAACGATTCTGGCTCCTCATGCGGTGGAAGCCCTGATTAAACAACCTCCGGGCCGATGGCTTTCCAACGCCCGCATGACCCACTATCAGGCTCTCCTGCTGGACACTGATCGAGTATATTTTGGTCCCATGGTAGCCCTTAACCCGGCAACACTGCTTCCCCTACCAGAGGGTCCAGAAACTCATGACTGTCTCCAGATACTCAGAGGTACATGGCACCCGGCCTGACCTGACCGACCAGCCCCTCCCTGATGCCGACTTCACCAGCTGCTCCGATGGGAGCAGCTTTCTTGACAAGGGAGAACGGAGAGCAGGGGCCGCGGTCACCACCGAGACTGAGGTAATTTGGGCCAAGGCCCTGCCACCTGGCACGTCGGCGCAGCGGGCTGAACTCATCGCCTTAACTCAGGCCCTCCGGATGGCAGAAGGTAAAAAGCTCAATGTTTATACAGACAGCTGTTATGCTTTTGCCACCACTCATATTCATGGGGAAATATACCGAAGGAGAGGCCTACTCACCTCTGAGGGGAAAGAGATCAAGAACAAACTGGAGCTATTAGCTCTCTTAGAGGCTCTGTTCTTGCCTTCAAAATTAAGTATCATCCACTGTCCGGGGCATCAGAGAAGAGACAGCCCTGAGGCTCGTGGCAACTGCCTGGCGGATGAGACTGCCCGACAGGTAGCTCAGCAGGAAGGCTCAGTTATTTCCCAGGCCCTGACTATGGGAGAAAAGAATATAGACCCCTCTACCCGGGGGCCTGTTCTCCGATACAGCCAGGAAGACCAAAACCTACTAAGAGAAATGGGGGCCACCTACCAACCTAAAATTCAAAAATGGATATTCAAGGGAAAACCAGTGTGGCCCCAGCGTATGACTTATGACTTGATTGATTATCTCCACAAATTAACCCATCTGAGTTACAGAAAAATGAAAACCCTCCTTGAAAGAGAAGAAAGCACCCACCATTTGCTGGGGAAAGACAAGATTCTGCAGCAAGTGGCTGAAAGGTGCACCGTGTGTGCACGGGTAAATGCTGGACACAGTAAGGTGGGTTTCGGGACCAGGGCCCGAGGACACTGACCTGGAACCCATTGGGAAGCTGATTTCACAGAAGTCAAGCCTGGACTATATGGATACCGGTATTTGCTGGTGTTCGTGGACACTTTCTCTGGATGGGTAGAGGCCTACCCTACCAAACATGAGACTGCCAAAGTCGTCATCAAAAAGCTTTTAGAAGAAAATTTCCCCAGGTATGGTATGCCACAGGCACTGGGCTCCGACAACGGCCCTGCTTTCATCTCCCAGGTAAGTCAGTCGGTGGCCACATTGCTGGGGATTGATTGGAAATTACACTGTGCATACCGCCCCCAGAGCTCAGGACAGGTAGAGCGCATGAATAGAACTATTAAGGAGACTTTAACCAAATTGACGCTTGCAACTGGCACTAGAGACTGGGTGACCCTCCTTCCCCTAGCGTTGTATCGGGCTCAAAATACACCGGGCCCTTATGGACTCACCCCTTTTGAAATCCTTTATGGTGCCCCGCCGCCAGCAGCCCATTTCTTTGACTCTGACATAGCCTCTTTTGCTGATAGACCTTCTCTCCAAGCTCACTTGCAGGCCCTGCAACTCGTGCAACGGGAGGTCTGGAAACGCTGGCGGCTGCGTATCGAGAACAGCTCAACCATCCAATGGTGCCACATCCGTTCCAGATCGGAGACCTCGTTTGGGTTCATAGACACCAGCAGAAGAACCTAGAGCCACGCTGGAAGGGACCCTACACCGTACTGCTGACAACACCCACAGCCCTAAAGGTAGACGGCATCGCCACCTGGGTCCACGCCTCCCACGTCAAGACCGCCAACCCCGAACACCAGCCTGACCACCCGGACTTGAAAGCCAGATGGAAACCTCACCGCACTCAAAATCCATTAAAGATAAGATTGACTCGTGGGGAACCCTAATAAGCTTGTGTCTCACTCTAAGTCTAGGAGTAGCCCATGCTTCCCCACATCAGGTTTATAATTATACCTGGGTCATTGAAAACCAGGCTGGGGATATTGTTAACTTAAGCTCCTCTATTGGGGTCCAGCCCCACTGGCCAGATTTAGAAGT